TATCCTCCTGTTTTAAAGCTTTGCTGCGCTGATTTGTGTTGTGTTGTTATGCAGGTTTTATTTTATTTTAACTCTGCTGTTCTGTAAAGCACTTTGGTCAGCCAGTGGCTGTTGAAAAATGTGCTTTATAAATAAAATGAACTTGAACTTTATAACACGAACCAAGTCTGTCTCTATACTGTGTCCCTTTCTAAACCCAGACTGAAAAGGTTCGACAAGCTTGTTGGATGACAAGTGTGAGGAGTTGTGCCTCAACAACACTTTCCAAAGCCTTAGCAAGAAAGGGCAGGTTTGAGATTGGCCTGTAATTTGATAGTCTGACTTTGATAGATCACATCCAGGCTTTTTAAGGACTGGTGTAAAACCTGCAACCTTACGGGCTTTTGGAACCATACCAGTTGTAAGAGAGGTGTTCACAAATGAGGGGACTAATTGAAGAGAGAGAGACACACACACACACACACACATGCACTTATACACACATTCTCACACACGCCCCTTAACCCTCTACCGCACGCATTATGATAGACCTATAGAAAAAAATATTTGACTCTTTTTATTTTCTTAGAATGGCTTAACTTGAAGTGCTGTAAAAAGAAAATTAATTTTTTTTTTAAGGTCCTTTATGATATGTTGCCATACGGCAACAACATACAACAGTGGATTTTTTTTTAGAAAAAAAAAATTGCCATTTAAATTTGATTTTTTTCCATAATACAAATGCATTGGCAGTATGACGAGCCGTTTTATTTCCAGGATACTAATTCTTAATATCAACAATTCAATTTTTACTAGATAAAATGATAGTTATTGATATCAGGAATTAGATTTCTACTATAACAATGGCAATTTTTGATATAAGAAATTACATTTCCACTGGTAACAATGCTAATTCTTGATTTCCACAATTACATTTTCACTATAGTTAAAATGCTAATTCTTGATTTCAACTAGTAAAAAGCTTTATTTTTCATATCAAGAATTAAATTTTCACTAGTTGAAATGATTTTTTTTTTGTATCAATTCAATTGTTGATATCAAGAATAGACATTTCAACTAGTGACATTTGAATTATTGATATCAGGAATTCACATATGTACTAACAAAGAAATTATTGATATCAAAATTATATTTCTACTAGTAAGAAATCGATTCTTGATATCAACAATTGATTTTGAATGGCAGCCTATGGTGACATTTCACCAGTGAAAATACAATTATAGATATCAAGAATTCATATCCTGGAAATGAATAAAAGTTAAAACAGCTTTCCAAATTGGCAATCCTTAACCTATGACTAATCAACATTATATCACTTAACCTGTCTAGCTAGCTAAACTTTTGTAATAATGTCATTCCACTATTGCACAGTGTTGCCGCTTGGCAACACAGACATTTGATCGATTTACCAAAAACTAATTTCATAAAAACTTTTTTGAGTGGTGAATATGTCATCATACCTTAACTGAGGTGATGTTTAGATTTGTTTTGTGTATGTGATATGGGCTGGTCCTTGTTTGTTACTGACGTTTTAGTTTGCTTTCAGCAACAGTACTTGTATTCATTGCAATCAATATACAATCAATAGTGACTATGTTAAAACTGGAGAATGCAGTTTCAGGAAAACTAAATGCAGAGCAAGGTACCAAACTGATAAACTTATACATGCTTAAAATTGTATCCATAAAGATACTAAGAAATGTGTTTCACTCCTGCACAGAAGAACAAATTGATGGCTGAATTGGTGCAAGAGCTCTGTTGATCTTGTTGGGATTTGCAGCACCATCACTACCGATAGACGAGTAGTACTTGTTCTTGCTGTCTTTAATGCTTCAGCGTATTGACTCAAATGTTCATCATACATGAGCTTATGGACAGGTCAACCTGATTTCTTATATTGCTGTTCTTTCCACCTTGAGAGCCCTGAGCTCAGTGATATAGAAAGGAGACGATTTAACAAATGAAACAACACGTTCGCTAACATGTCCAAAGCAGAGGACAAAATATAATTATAGTGATCAACAGTTTCAACTGTGCTGTGAGATCATACATGAAAGGCTGCCAAAATTAATATTCTTGACATTTCTAAAACTAATGACCCTTTTTTGGAACATTTAAATTAAAAGTGTGAAGCTTATGATCACTAATACACCAGTCACTGCGGTCTAGCTGGCCAATGTCCACCCCGACTGAACACACCAGATAAAGTTGTTATGAGTGGGAAATTTGACATGCTGAGTCATGTTAAAACAGTCTAATACATCCATGAGTTCAACTGTTAGATTACTATTAAAGTTATCCACATGGATATTAATGTCTCCAGTGAGAATCATTGATGGACAGACAGAGCTAACAGATATAAGTAGTTCATTGAAAAACAAAGAATTAGGTTTTGGAGGTCGATAGATGAGTAGCTACAATAAGAACAGGAGAAGTCCGTTCATTTTGGAGGAAACACACTCAAATGATGATACACAGGGAATGGAAATTTCCGTAACAGATTATCATCTCTGTAGATGACAGCAAGACCAGCCTATATAGGCCTATATCCCGGTGGAGTACGCTACTCATATTTAAGTTTATGAAGTCTCACAGATACAACATAAATCCAGTGCATTGTTCAATATGATATCATAGAGTCTTATTGTTCAATGAACGAAGATTTAGATGTGCAAATCGCGCATTTTCTGATGGTATACAGAGCCAGTGGTGGATAACGCTAGTTTGCATGGCACACACCGCATAAAGAGTGCTTTTTTGTTTCTGAGTCCATAGACCGAGAGGCGATACGACTGTAATGCCAGTCCCAGTCGTGTATGGACGATCGGCCGATGTAGAAGTCGAGACGATTTCAGGGTCTTTTGAACACAGACATCAAAAACGTGAGTGATGTTCCAATGAGAGAAGTCCAGAGAACCTTATCATGATGAAATCCATGCGAATGTTGAAGGACCCGCTCTCCAGATGACGGGAAATCCGCTAGAGTTAGCCTGGTTAAAACCAGAGCATTCTCAGTTGTAAGTGAGTTATGGTCTGGCAAAGCGTCATAGACAAATCATTTCCAGAGGGGCGTCACCAACGGGCGTCGCGGATAGACCTAAACCAATCAGAGCGATGAAGGAGATGACGTATGCAGAGCGGCGGAGACACATCTCCGAGTGTTGTTCTTTGCTCGGTTTTTAACTAAAAGGAAACGTTCAAATGGCTTAAAACAGACGCGATAGCTGATTGGAACGAGTGATGTTCGACGGCGGCATCCATCTCTGTAATGTAGGCTACAAAATCTGCTTCAAAACCCCAGCGCTGTCGTCATCGTGTAAAGCCCGGCCCGACGCTTCTGATTGGTGCCGCGATTTCGACTGATTGGAAACTGGCTTGAATGAGCTCTTTGCCAGACTAACTTTCAGAGCAAACCTAAATTTGCCGGAAGTTGTCTGGGTTTTCCCAGGCTACAAGATAGGAACAACAATATCCAATTTGAGTTCGTTGAGGTGGACACGCTGTTGTCGAGATAGCAGATCCCGGTCAGAAACACTCCTCAATAGAGCTCCAGTATCCGTAAAAGCAGTGTAAAAACACCAACTGATAAAATCCATAGCCTACTCCTGAAGAATGAATAAAGTAAATTAAAAAAGACGACCGGAGAAGCGGCAGCGAACATGCGCCAGCGTATTCTCTCCACGTGTCGTTGTCGTGTGTTTAAATGCATTATAGGAAGGTTCAGATTATAAAAAAATGCATTATAAGGTGCATTACAAGGCATGACTACTGAATTAAAATACTTGTATAATAGTATTTTAAAAGGTGTTGCGAATTAGCCATGGCTATAAACACTGAGGCCTCGGTGTCACGGTGGGTTTGTCATGTTTAGTGGTTCGCTGTCTGTCTGTTCGTCATGCCAGGTGTTTCCCGTTAGCCACGCCCCCTTGTTATCCTGTCTAGCCCGTCTACCCCTAAGCCCTGTGTTTCAGCCCTGTCTGTGTGAGTTCTTGTTTGGTTGTGTGTCGTTGTAGGTTGTTCTGTTCCCGAGTCTGGTTCCCTTGTCTGAGTCTTTGTTTAGTTTGAGTGTATTTAAATAAACGTGCTGCATTTGGATCCTCCTTGCTTCAACCTCACCTCATAACACTCGGATTGGTTTTTATGTATAATCTATGTTTTTTTGTATTTTTTTTGTATCTGTCCCTATTCAAATAAACAACAAATAAATAAATAAAATAATAAATTATACATACAGGCTTTACTGTAAGTAAAGTTGCTGATTTTTGACCTTCTTCATTGCTTGTTTTAAGTCAAGTCATCTTCATTTATATAGCGCTTTTAACAATGGATTGTTTCAAAGCAGTTTTACAGAGATAAACATATAATTTAAGGTAACAGAGATTGGTTTGGTTTTATATCTAAAGTTAACTTTGATTGATTCACCTCCGTCGAAATGATCAGACTTTAAACTGAACCTGTGATTAACGCTGACGGCGTTCACATGCTCATTCAGAATTCTATAGTTATGTGCTTTTGAAAATATGTGCGCAGGTTTGTAATTCCATACAACCCAGCCTAAACAAACTACTTGTCTTGCCTATAAATTTTGATACAGAATTTTGTTTTATTTTATCACTTCGGGGTACGCGAACCGAATTCACAACGCTTTATCTGTAGAGCGGGAAAGGGATCCTCCATAAAGTCCTGACTTTTTAAAACCCTTAAACTTTCTATTTATTTCTATTTATATCTATAACACGAATCCTGACGGAACCCTTTCACTGTGTTTCATGTTGACTTGCAAGAAGCGGATTGCCCATTCTCAGGAGTCAGGACTTTATCTCAGCTGGAGATCACACTATATCCCAGTCAGCACGCACAGCTCCACTGGGGTTAATGGTTCACTGGCCTTATAACACAGTTGTGCAATGCTGAGCAGTGACTGGCCCTGAAGGACCCGGGAGGGTTATCTCAGCTGACATGCTGGTATAAATGCAGCGTTCGGCTCCTGTGTGGATATAAGCCTTCAGACGTCTTCATCATCTTCTTCATCTTCATCATCTTCATCATCTGCCTGCGCTCTTCTGGTCGACATGGGTGTGGCGTACAGCGTGGGAGAGTAAGTAACTCACAGGCTTTTACATTCCACTTTGAATCTGTAACATCCATGCATTGCAGAAAATGTACTTTATTGGCATCGAAAGTTCATCCATGCACTCTTACGGTAGTTAATCTGGTGTGCTTCGCGTGTCCGAGATTAATGTTTTTATTTCAATGAAATTAATGTAGGCTACTATATTTTAGTTCGATAAAGTTATTTATTTATTTTTTATTTTATTTTTAGGGGATTTTATGTTACTAAATTATATTTATATAAAGTATATTTACATGGTATTTATAATTCATTTATTCACTTTTTGAGCATAGACCAGAACATTGAATTTCCAGCTTAAACTGGTGAATCTTGAATGCTTTAGAGACTGAAGTTTGATCTCTTTTCAAAGACGAGACTTGGCAGATTATTGCTGAAGGAAACCTGTTCTTAAATTCTATATGTTGCGAAACACTGTGTGTGTGTGTGTGTGTGTGTGTGTGTGTGTGTGTGTGTGTGTGTGTGTGTGTGTGTGTGTGTGTGTGTGTGTGTGTGTGTGTGTGCGTGTGTGTGTGTGTGTGTGTGTGAGAGAGTGTGAGAGTGTGAGAGTGTGAGAGTGTGTGAGTGTGAGTGTGTGAGGGTGTGAGAGTGTGAGAGTGTGAGAGTGTGTGAGTGTGAGTGTGTGAGTGTGTGAGAGTGAGTGAGTGTGTGAGTGTGTGAGTGAGAGTGTGTGAGTGAGAGTGTGTGAGTGAGAGTGTGTGAGTGAGTGAGTGTGTGAGTGAGAGTGTGTGAGTGAGTGAGTGAGTGAGTGAGTGAGTGAGTGAGTGAGTGTGTGAGTGTGTGAGTGAGAGTGTGTGAGTGAGAGTGTGTGAGTGAGTGTGTGAGTGAGTGAGTGAGAGTGTGTGAGTGAGAGTGTGTGAGTGAGTGTGTGAGTGAGAGTGTGTGAGTGAGAGTGTGTGAGTGAGTGTGTGAGTGAGAGTGTGTGAGTGAGAGTGTGTGAGTGAGTGTGTGAGTGTGTGAGTGAGAGTGTGTGAGTGAGAGTGTGTGAGTGAGTGTGTGAGTGAGTGAGTGAGTGAGTGAGTGAGTGAGTGTGTGAGTGAGTGAGTGAGTGAGTGAGTGAGAGAGTGAGTGAGTGAGTGAGTGAGTGAGTGAGTGAGTGAGTGAGTGAGTGAGTGAGTGAGAGTGTGAGAGTGAGTGAGTGTGTGAGTGTGTGAGTGAGAGTGTGTGAGTGAGAGTGTGTGAGTGAGTGAGTGAGTGAGTGAGTGAGTGAGTGAGTGAGAGTGTGAGAGTGAGTGAGTGTGTGAGTGTGTGAGTGAGAGTGTGTGAGTGAGAGTGTGTGAGTGAGTGAGTGAGTGAGTGAGTGAGTGTGTGAGTGAGTGAGTCATTTACAGTCAAACCAAAAATTATTCAGACACCAGATATAATTTTTGATATTGTTTCATAGTGTGATCAGGACACTATAGTTCATTTATGTAAGTGAGGAGAGCAAAATAAAGTAAACTGTGACATATTATACCCAAATATTCTTCATACAGTGACTACAGTGACATTAATAAACATCTTTGAGCAATAATGATTCCTCCACTTTGAGCTGATCATGTTCTGCTGAAGTGTGTTTTCTGTAATTGCTAATGCTCTTTTTACACACACACTGAACAACATGAAGCATTGCTTGGTCACTGGTTGAGCTAAACTGGTATTATCTAATTGTGTAGTTAAATTGAACAGCTGACAGATATTCAACATAATTCATGTGTGAGAGTCTAACAGAAGGACGGACAAAACCAGTCAAATATCCACTGATCTGAGAACTGAGTTCTGCTCATATTTATTACCGTTTTTACGAATAAACTGATAATGTGAGAAATGTTGAAAGGGTCTGAATAAATCTTGGTTTGACTGTATATATCGCTTTTATTCCGTACTATTGTTCACCCAAAGTGCTCTACAAGCATCCGGATGCATTACAGAGGATTAACGTAAGTTGTTTGAGTTTTTGTCTCAAACTATTTCCAGTGAAGTCTTGAGTTACCGTATCTCACTGGGATAATTCCTCGTGTGCGTGTGCCAGAGAAACGGTTCTAACATGACTTCCAGATGTCTGGGAACGCCGGGCTTCATTAGCAGGACTCAAGGGATTCTCATTGCGTTACTGGAGTCTGACGTTGAAACAAGCAATGACTGTAATTTCCAGGAATAGGATCCATTAATAGAGTCCATGCATTATAGTCTGATGGTGGAAATTCTGATGTTAAATCCAGTACATTTGGTCAATGTGCATCAGAAACACACACACATTTACATGCAAATGCTCTGAGCTACAGTTCATGTTTTTATAATATGCATCTTATATGAGCTCGACTCCTCAAGCGTGCGTTTGGTTTCCTTCAGGGTGGATCATCTCTACACGTTCTTCGTCCAGTGGTCTCCGGAAACCATTTACAGTAAACACACCAGCAAGCAGGATTTCCTGAAGGTCCATCCAGAAACCCTCAGTGTGATCGACTCTTTACTGAATAACTCTGACCCCAAAAACTGGAAGGTATATTGCACAAAATTCACGTTTAATCAGCATTAATGTGATCAAAGTACAGTACAGTTACCGTGACTCGAAATCCAGCAGGATCATGTACAATAACAATCATTTATATATACAGCGTTCAAAACTTTGAGATCAGTAAGATTTTTAAATGTTTTTAAAAGAAGACTCTTATCCTCACCAAGGCTGCATTTATTTGATTGAAAATACTGAGAGAAAAAACAATAATATTGTTAAATATTACGAGATCTGTTTTCTATGTGAATATACAGTAAAGTGTAATTTATTCCTGTGATCAAAGCTGAGTTTTCAGCATCATTACTCCAGTCTTCAGTGTCACATGATCCTTCAGAAATCACTCTAATATGAGGATCTGATGCTCAAGAAACATTTATGATTATTATCAGTGTTGAAAACAGTTGTGGACAATTTTTATTTCAGGATTCTTTGATGAATAGAAAGTTCATTTATTTCAAATAAAATGTTTTGTAACATTATAAATGTATTTACTGTCACTTTTGATCAATTTAATTAATCCTTGATGAATTAAAAAGTATTGATTTCTTATATTTCTTCCCCCCCCCCCCCCCCAAAAAAACATTCTTACTGACCCCAAACTTTTGAACGGTAGTGTTTAATGTTACAAAAGCTTTCTATTTCAGATAAATGCCGTTCTTTTGAACTTAAAGAATACCGATTGCTGTCCACAACTGTTTTCAACACTGATAATAATCATAAATGTTTCTTGAGCATCAAATCATCATATTAATTCAATTCAATTCAAATTTATTTGTATAGCGCTTTTGGTAACACTTTACTTGAAGGGGTGTGCATAAGACTGACACGACACCTTCATAATCATGACACGACACATGAAGGAGGGTTTATGCATATTTATGACAACTGTCATTAAGTGTCATTCGCTCAATTATAACATTTTTAATGCAAATATGATGCAACATTGTTTGAGAAATATATTTATATGCAAACATTGTTTGAGATGTCTTTGTTATGACACCTTGACATAAGGTCATGAGGCATTATAACTGTGTCATTAATATTTTTCTTGGCCTCAACTACAGTGGTACACATTGAATTTGTCATTAAAATGTTATAATGCCTCATGACAGCCAATGTCAAAACCAACCACATGACAGTTTAATGTAATGTTAACCCATAAAGCTCAGTGCTTTCTTAAGTTTGATAATTAATCTGCTATGTCATGTTTATTACAGGTTGTGTTGTCTTAGTAATGTCAAGTTGTCATGAGACACTGACAGGTTATGATGTATTGGTTTATGTCAAGGTGTCATAACAAAGACATCTCAAACAATGTCATATTTGCATTAAAAATGTCATAATTGAGTGAATGACACTTAATGACAGTTGTCATAAACATGCATAAACCCTCCCTCATGTGTCCTGTCATGATTATGAAGGTGTCATGTCAGTCTTATGCACACCCCTTCAAGTAAAGTCTTACCGTGCTTTTCACTATTCATATTGTTTCAAAGCAGCTTTACAGAAAGTGCATTTCAGAAATGTACATAGAATTATTACATAGAAATAATTTAATACATGATTTATTTAATCATGTATATAAAAGCATGGTTCATTTTCTGTTAATTTTCTAATAACTATATTAGAGTGATTTCTGGAGGATCATGTGACACTGAAGACTGGAGTAATGATGCTGAAAATACAGCTTTGATCACAGGAATAAATTACACTTTACTGTATATTCACATAGAAAACAGGAAAAAAAAATCTTACTGATCTTAAACTTTTGAACGGCAGTTTATCAAGAACTCGTTGGTTTTCCTGCGGGTGGAGGAAGAAAAGAAACCGAGTGCAATACAGATTCTCATTCGAGAAGAAACATGCTTCTTTTTTTCCGCCCATATTTGGCGAAGCTTCCTCTTCTGAGGTTTTCTCTAAAACGAAACCAAGCTTGAAATGTGAACTGGGCGGGAGAAGAACACGATATAAGCGGGTAAGACCTCCAGAGTGCCCAGATTTAACTCACAGGACACCTCGAGCAATCTCTGAACATGAGGCCGATGCAGGAGAGCATTAAGATCTTGTACTTTGCCAATGGATCTGAGGGGCCGTTTGTAGAGGTGAGCTTTAAACATGCTCTACTGCTAATAGAACACGGTTACTGTACTATGCTAACCACAAATTAACCGTGATTTGCTGTAAGGGTTGAGGAATGAGTGTTACTGAAACTCCTCGCGCACGTGTGTGTGTGTGTGTGAGAGAGAGTGTTTCAGTCAGTGATGCTTCTCTTCTGTTTTCCTCCAGATTGTCACTGTGAAGCAGCAGAATAAGCGCTGTGCGAGTGTGTGTGTGTGCGCGAGTGTGTGTGTGTGTGTGTGTGTGTGTGCGAGTGTGTGTGTGTGCGCGAGTGTGTGTGTGCGTGTGTGTGTGTGTTTCAGTCAGTGATGCTTCTCTTCTGTGTTCCTCCAGATTGTCACTGTGAAGCAGCAGAATAAGCGCTGTGTATGTGTGTGTGTGTGTGTGTGTGTGTGCGCGAGTGTGTGTGTGTGAGTGTGTTTCAGTCAGTGATGCTTCTCTTCTGTGTTCCTCCAGATTGTCACTGTGAAGCAGCAGAATAAGCGCTGTGCGAGTGTGTGCAGTTCTGCAGACTCTGAATCTGAAGATCTTCTGCCAGTTTTAATAAACCACAGTCAGATCCTGAACCAACACCACCTCGAACAAGTACGTGATGTGCTTTTCTGATCAAAGTACCCTAGTGGAAAAGAAATGTACCAAAATGTGTTTGAAATGCATTTATTTTATGCTAAGTATATTACATTTACATATTATGTACACATGCTGATGAAATGAATGCTTTAGATGATGCATGCAGTGATGTAAAGGCTAATCTCCACAGCTGGTGAACCAGATTCCCGCACGGACTCAGGGTTATCGGTGGAAACTGGTGTACAGTACGGCGGAGCACGGCACCAGTCTGAGGACACTGTACCGGCAGATGGGAGACATAGACAGACCAGTTCTGATGGTCATCAAGGATTCAGACAAGCAGGTGTGTGTACAGGTGCACGTGTGTGTGTGTGTGTGTCATTCATGCTATATCCGGCATCAGTCAAACCCTCAGTGTGTTACTATATCACTAAACCTTTTACACTTCAATAACTAAGAAGTTAGGGGAGAGCGGAGCACAAAATAACACTTTTAGACTTTTTCAGATTGTGTAATCTACTGTACTTTGGGTTCAGAATATTTATTTATTTATTCTCACATTCATTTCACACGTCTAGTACAGTTATGTGGTTTTGTTTCATTAATACAGTGTATACTTTATTCTTGATTTACCCCGAAATAATGGAAGTGAAATGTGACAACATGCCCCACAGCTGGGGTTTATAATCACATGACCATATATGATGGATTAAAATGATTACAAAAAAAATATATATAAACTAAAATATTTTGTCAGTAAAATACCATTATTAACTTTTTCATATAAAATAATGGCATTATTTAATAATTAAAAATAAACACATTTTTGAGTTTGAAAACAAACACACTGCAAAACAGCTATACAGCATAGTTCAAAACATAATAATAATTCATAATTTCTAAACATTGACCTTTTTCTCATGTTTTCTCAATAGAATTCTTAAAAGTATAGAATAGAATATCATAGTTCTAATAGGGGTTCATTGTAACGCAGTGTGACTATCTCAACTGTTAAATAACAGATATAAGATTAAAATAATATTAGATTTGTCTAATTTTAAATAAACACAAAAAACAGAGATGAAAAATGTACTTCAGTAAGATATTTACTTTTGCAATGGCTAAAGAAATGTTAAGTGATATCTTCCAAAGATTTTTTACATTTTGGCACATTTTTTTTTCTTTATATAGTGTTGATATGGCAACTAGTAAATACAATAAGTTTCATCATGCTGGCACGTGTGGAAAGTTTTACGTTAGTTTGTGCCCCGATCACCCATATATTATGACCAAACATAATCTGAAATTTCATCCTTGTATTGATGCATTTGGCAGACGCTTTTATCTAAAGTGAATTTAAAGTATAACATGAATCAGTTCATGCTTTCACTAGGAATTGAACCCTTGACCTTGGTGTTGCTGCTTTATAGATGAATTGAGCTCGTTTCATAATTGATGAACTTTACTCAGTTATTGAACCGAAGTGAATCAACACTGAACTGAATTGATCTGATTATCAGCTTTACAGCAGCAGAATTGGATTTAGTTTGCTTGTTATTTTCCTGTTTATCATCAGCTTTGAATCCATCTATATTGTACAAAGCACTGTAGAAATTAATAACACTGACTTGACTTGCATGTGTAGCATCAACATGGTGAAATGTTGCGCTAAAACAACCTGTTCCTGCAACCCTCAGGTGTTCGGAGCGTTTTCCTCAGACCCTTTCCGAGTGAGCAGCTTCTGCTACGGGACAGGAGAGACGTTCCTCTACAGCTTCAGTCCTGAGTTTCAGGTACGGGTCGCTCTGATCTTAATATCTCACACCTGAACACATGACCTGTAGTTTCACCTGTTGTTCCACCTGTAGTTTCACCTGTAGTTTCACCTGTAGTTTCACCTGTAGTTTGACCTGTTGTTCCACCTGTAGTTCCACCTGTAGTTTCACCTGTAGTTTCACCTGTAGTTTGACCTGTAGTTTCACCTGTAGTTTGACCTGTAGTTTGACCTGTTGTTCCACCTGTAGTTCCACCTGTAGTTTCACATGTTGTTCCACCTGTAGTTTCACCTGTAGTTTGACCTGTAGTTTCACCTGTAGTTTGACCTGTTGTTCCACCTTTAGTTCCACCTGTAGTTTCACCTGTTGTTCCACCTGTAGTTTCACCTGTAGTTTCACCTGTTGTTCCACCTGTAGTTTCACCTGTTGTTCTACCTGTATTTTCACCTGTTGTTCCACCTGTAGTTTCACCTGTTGTTCCACCTGTATTTTCACCTGTAGTTTCACCTGTATTTTCACCTGTAGTTCCACCTGTTGTTCCACCTGTATTTTCACCTGTAGTTTCACCTGTATTTTCACCTGTAGTTCCACCTGTTGTTCTACCTGTATTTTCACCTGTAGTTTCACCTGTATTTTCACCTGTAGTTCCACCTGTTGTTCCACCTGTATTTTCACCTGTTGTTCCACCTGTAGTTTCACCTGTTGTTCCACCTGTATTTTCACCTGTTGTTCCACCTGTTGTTCCACCTGTAGTTTCACCTGTTGTTCCACCTGTAGTTTGACCTGTTGTTCTACCTGTATTTTCACCTGTAGTTTCACCTGTATTTTCACCTGTAGTTCCACCTGTTGTTCCACCTGTATTTTCACCTGTAGTTTCACCTGTATTTTCACCTGTAGTTCCACCTGTTGTTCTACCTGTATTTTCACCTGTAGTTTCACCTGTATTTTCACCTGTAGTTCCACCTGTTGTTCCACCTGTATTTTCACCTGTTGTTCCACCTGTAGTTTCACCTGTAGTTTGACCTGTAGTTTGACCTGTAGTTTGACCTGTAGTTTGACCTGTTGTTCCACCTGTAGTTTGACCTGTAGTTTGACCTGTAGTTTCACCTGTAGTTTCACCTGTTGTTCCACCTGTAGTTTGACCTGTAGTTTGACCTGTAGTTTGACCTGTAGTTTGACCTGTAGTTTGACCTGTAGTTTCACCTGTTGTTCCACCTGTAGTTTGACCTGTAGTTTCATATGTTGTTCCACCTGTAGTTTGACCTGTAGTTTGACCTGTAGTTTCACCTGTAGTTTCACCTGTAGTTTGACCTGTAGTTTGACCTGTAGTTTCACCTGTAGTTTGACCTGTAGTTTGACCTGTAGTTTCACCTGTTGTTCCACCTGTAGTTTGACCTGTAGTTTGACCTGTAGTTTGACCTGTAGTTTGACCTGTAGTTTCACATGTAGTTTGACCTGTAGTTTGACCTGTAGTTTGACCTGTAGTTTGACCTGTAGTTTCACCTGTTGTTCCACCTGTAGTTTGACCTGTAGTTTCATATGTTGTTCCACCTGTAGTTTGACCTGTAGTTTGACCTGTAGTTTGACCTGTAGTTTGACCTGTAGTTTGACCTGTAGTTTCACCTGTTGTTCCACCTGTAGTTTGACCTGTAGTTTGACCTGTAGTTTGACCTGTAGTTTCACCTGTTGTTCCACCTGTAGTTTGACCTGTAGTTTGACCTGTAGTTTGACCTGTAGTTTGACCTGTAGTTTGACCTGTAGTTTCACATGTAGTTTGACCTGTAGTTTGACCTGTTGTTTGGTTCATGTGCAGATTTTCCGCTGGAGTGGTGAAAACTCCTACTTTGTGAGAGGATTCCTGGACTCGCTTCAGATGGGAGGAGGAGGGTAAGGCATTATCACGCTTTTATTAATGTAATATATAGTCACAATTGTGAGTTATAAATTCAGAATTGTGAGATAAAAAGTCCCAATTGCGAGTTAAAGAGATATAAACATGCAATTCTGAGATAAAAAGTCGCAGTTACGTTTTTTATTTTTTATTCTGTAAGGGAAACAGGCTTCCATACAACAAAGTAGAAATACTGAAATATTATTTTCTTGTCAAATTATCTAATGATCCAATCAATTCCCCATGAACAAAATCAAGTCAGATATACGTCTGACCATTGGCAACTTCAAACTTTGGTCTCATCAGCTGATTGGTGTGTTTAGATGAATTAATCAGTCCTGTACTGTAATCACTGCCATTGATGCGGAATAAAGGGGAAGTTGTTTTACGCTACTACGGTATTTGAAGCTTCTGCTTTCTGAATGTGGAAGTGAGATAAAGATCTGTAGTGTAAATGATCCTTCTGTTCTCATAACTCTTCTGTTCAACACAACATTTGATCATAAAGCTTCTGCTTTCTAAAATAGATGGTGATGATGAAACACAAAAGCTGTGAAAAAATATAATAAAAAAATTATAAAAAATGATAATAAAATAAATTCAGACAAAACAACAAAACTGCAATTATATCATTTATACATTCAGGCATGTATTCATTATACCTACATTATAATGTTACACCAGGTCATGTGGTTTGATTCACATGCAGGGAATGAATGAACTGATTAAATGTACGGCGTGTCATCATCATGATTCTTGTGCTGGAGATTCATTACATACAAATAATTAACGATTTAATTCTGTTGTGTTTATCTGTTTTCTGTCATATATAATATAATATAATAGTAAAAATTATTTTTAAAAAGGCCCATATTATTAAATTTTTTATGCTGTGATTTATATCAAATAAAAAAAATATATAATTTATATATAATATAATAATAAAAATTATAATAAAATAGATTATATGATTGAATTGTTTTAATGTTGTGAAAATTAATTTATATAATATAGTATAATATCATATCATATAATAATAAAATTGGATTGAACGATTTACATTTTGATGTTGTAAGTTTTAGGGGTGTGACGAGATCTCGTGCCACGAGATCTCGCGAGACTAAATATGACGAGATTTCTCGTCGAGTGAAAAAGCTGTCTCGCGATATCCCCATTAATATTCCACCGCTACACTCACATTCGCCTAAACTATCGTTTTGTTGTTTTTATAAAAAAATAAAAACCATTATAAACTAATGCAAAAGTCTGCTCTGCTCATCCAGCACGAGTTGCCGTTGCAATCAGTGCAGCACGAATCACAGTTCACTGATCGCATGACGATGGCGGAGGATTCGTTGCGCAACAGACTAAACGTCTGGTAAATGTCTTATCTTGTAGAATGCGCGCTCAGCACCGCTGCTCCCTATACGCGCGGTCACGAATTTGTAAGTGAAAGTAAAACACAAGCTCCCTGATGTGCATTGCGCACAAATTAGGCTGCATACATAAAATAATCCGTCTCCCAATACCCATCTCTGGACTGTTTATTTGCGGCTATGGTCTCTGTTGGCACTGCGAATATTGAGAGAGCACTGTAACGTACAAAGGACAACAGACAAGGGAGGCTCCGTTTCTGAACTTATAATCGGAACGCAAGAACAACTGTAGAGACAAACACACCAGCCTCGTTTCTCTCGGCCTTTTCCGAACTCACCGCATTAACCCTATAACTGCCGGTGCAAAATAAAACCGCAATTTCACAACAATTATAAAGAGTCTGTGTGCTAACTTTGATTATGGTTGCACTCGCACTTATTGTTTGCACTTAATAAGACTAAGAGAAAACAGTTATTTATTTTTGTTATTTATACGGTTTTTATTTCTCTGTTAAATGTGTGTTAAAAGGAGTTCAGTTAGGAGGTCACACACAGCCTCAATCAGAAGTTCTGAAAGCTCTTAAATGTACAGTAAGGTCTGAAGAGACTAATGTGAAATTATACAGGAGAAAAGCCAGTCAATAAAAACCTTTTACAGTGCTTGAATATTGTTTTCTTTCAATGCATTTGATAATTCATACTCATAAAGTAGACCTGAAATGACATGCATTAGAAGATTATTAGTTAAAACATTGAAAAATGCACCTGCATACTATTTTTCCAGCCATGAATTTTGTCATTGAGGATTTCTGAAAAATTGTGCAAAAATCTCGTCTCGTCTCGTTCTCGTGAACCCAATCTCGTGTCTAGTCTCGTCTCGTGAGATAAGCGTCTCGTCACACCCCTAGTAAGTTTACAGAAACATCTTCTGATGCACAACCTTGGACACATCATCATTACGTTTTAGTGTTGTGAAAATATTTATTTAATTAATTTATATATAATATAATAATACGAATTATAATAGAATAGGCCAGTATGTTTTACTGTTGTATAATATAATATAACATAATAATAGGTCCATATGATTTGTTTTATTGTTGTGAAAATTAATAATTTTTATATAATTAATTTATATATAATAAAATATAATAATGTCAAAATTATCCATTTTTCTTTTATGCCAAAAAATCATTAGGATATGAAGTAAAGATATTTTGTCAATTTCCTATCGTACATAAATACAACAATTATTTTAGTGAGTGAACGCAGCACAATCGTGAACATAAATGCACAACTTTAAAAGCGATTTTCTCAATGTTTCGATTTTTTTGCACCCTCAGATTTTCAAATATTGTCCTATCCTATTAAATCACACATCAGTGGAACGCTTATTCATTCAGCTCTCATATGATGCATACATCTCAATGTAAAAAATGGACCCTTGTGACTGGTTTTGTGGTCACATGAGTGCTGTAATGAGCATGTCTGTTTCTTGAAGGGGTCCGTTCGGGTTGTGGCTGGACGCTGACCTGTACCGTGGATCCAGTTACTCCTGCGACACCTTCTGCAACCGGCCACTCAGTCTTCACCACGACTTCACCGTTCAGGAGCTCGAGGTCTGGACCTTCATCTGAGTCTGTTATCACTGATGCTTCATCTCAACAAACAACAGAGGAAACCGGAGGAACCGGTCGGATAACTCTCACAACCTCTGCCTCGCTCGTAACCGGCTTTAGATAAACGCTTCTGCTAAATCAACCGGCAACAATGTAAACGTAAAGCTAACGAGTCGAGGCAGATCTGGGGTTTTCAGTTCTCATTTCCCGTAACAGTAACCGTTGAGGAGACCTGACGCTACACGATCGGCATCTAGCGCTTCGAGCGCACATGTGTCGAACCATGAAGGCAACACTAGTTTGGAAACGAAACCCGTGAGAACTACTGAGTCTTTACTTTAAAATGCACTTAATAGAGGACCAATGCTTCCGACTACTAAATATCCATGAAAAGGGATTTGAAAAGAAAAAATGGTTCTCTGTATGATTGTATGATTTTACTACAACTTATTTTTTTTACTGTATTTAAAGAGGTTTGCGATGGTTGAGTTGTGTTCGGGGTTTTGGTTGTGTTTATCGTGCAGTGCTGGCGCTGCATCGGGGGTTAGACGTCTAATAAAACATGTTTTTCTGGGAAACTGCGTCTGTTTCACACTCTCTTCATCATATACAGCATTTATATCTGCATTAACTTTAGATCCAACTCTAAATCCAGTCTGCCATGTAATATTCATTACAGAATCAAGAAGTTCATATCTAAAGCATAAAGGCCCATCTCACACCAAGACCGATGATTTTAATGATAACTATAACGATAACTATGATATCTATAACGATAACTATAACAATAACTTTAAGGATAACTATAAAGATGACTATAATGATCACTACAACAAGGACTATAACTTTAACGACTTAAACGATAAATATAACCATAACTATATCGATGACTATAACGATAACTATAATGATAACTATAACGATAATTATAACGATAACTATAATGAGGAGGACTATATCGATGACTATAACGATAACTATTACGATGATTATAACGATAATTATAACGATAACTGTAATGAGGACTATATCGATGACTAACGATAACTATTATGATGACTAACGATAATTATAACGATAACTATTATGATGACTAACGATAATTATAACGATAACTATGAGGACTGTATCGATGACTATAACGATAATTATAACGATAACTATGAGGACTATATTGATGACTATAACGATAATTATAACGATAACTATGAGGACTATATCGATGACTATAACGATAACTATTACGATGATTATGACGATAATTACAACGATAATTATAACGATAACTGTAATGAGGACTATATCGATGACTAACGATAACTATTATGATGACTAACGATAATTATAACGATAACTATTATGATGACTAACGATAATTATAACGATAACTATGAGGACTGTATCGATGACTATAACGATAATTATAACGATAACTATGAGGACTATATTGATGACTATAACGATAATTATAACGATAACTATGAGGACTATATCGATGACTATAACGATAACTATTACGATGATTATGACGATAATTACAACGATAATTATAACGATAACTGTAATGAGGACTATATCGATGACTAACGATAACTATTATGATGACTAACGATAATTATAACGATAACTATTATGATGACTAACGATAATTATAACGATAACTATGAGGACTGTATCGATGACTATAACGATAATTATAACGATAACTATGAGGACTATATTGATGACTATAACGATAATTATAACGATAACTATGAGGACTATATCGATGACTATAACGATAACTATTACGATGATTATGACGATAATTACAACGATAATTATAACGATAACTGTAATGAGGACTATATCGATGACTAACGATAACTATTATGATGACTAACGATAATTATAACGATAACTATTATGATGACTAACGATAATTATAACGATAACTATGAGGACTGTATCGATGACTATAACGATAATTATAACGATAACTATGAGGACTATATTGATGACTATAACGATAATTATAACGATAACTATGAGGACTATATCGATGACTATAACGATAACTATTTTGATGACTAACGATAATTATAACGATAACTATAATGAGGACTATATCGATAATTATAACGATAACTATAATGAGGACTATATCGATGACTATAACGATAATTATAACGATAACTATAATGAGGACTATATCGATGACTATAACGATAATTATAACGATAACTATAATGAGGACTATATTGATGACTATAACGATAACTGTAATGAGGACTATATCGATGACTAACGATAACTATTATGATGACTAACGATAATTATAACGATAACTATTATGATGACTAACGATAATTATAACGATAACTATAATGAGGACTATATCGATGACTATTACGATAATTATAACGATAACTATAATGAGGACTATATTGATGACTATAACGATAACTATAATGAGGACTATATCGATGACTAAAACGATAACTATTATGATGACTAACGATAATTATAACGATAACTATAATGAGGACTATATCGATGACTATAACGATAACTATTATTATGACTAACGATAATTATAACGATAACTATAATGAGGACTATATCGATGACTAAAACGATAACTATTATGATGACTAACGATAATTATAACGATAACTATTAGGGGTGTGACGAGACGCTTATCTCACGAGACGAGACTAGACACGAGATTGGGTTCACGAGAACGAGACGAGACGAGATTTTTGCACAATTTTTCAGAAATCCTCAATGACAAAATTCATGGCTGGAAAAATAGTATGCAGGTGCATTTTTCAATGTTTTAACTAATAATCTTCTAATGCATGTCATTTCAGGTCTACTTTATGAGTATGAATTATCAAATGCATTGAAAGAAAACAATATTCAAGCACTGTAAAAGGTTTTTATTGACTGGCTTTTCTCCTGTATAATTTCACATTAGTCTCTTCAGACCTTACTGTACATTTAAGAGCTTTCAGAACTTCTGATTGAGGCTGTGTGTGACCTCCTAACTGAACTCCTTTTAACACACATTTAACAGAGAAATAAAAACCGTATAAATAACAAAAATAAATAACTGTTTTCTCTTAGTCTTATTAAGTGCAAACAATAAGTGCGAGTGCAACCATAATCAAAGTTAGCACACAGACTCTTTATAATTGTTGTGAAATTGCGGTTTTATTTTGCACCGGCAGTTATAGGGTTAATGCGGTGAGTTCGGAAAAGGCCGAGAGAAACGAGGCTGGTGTGTTTGTCTCTACAGTTGTTCTTGCGTTCCGATTATAAGTTCAGAAACGGAGCCTCCCTTGTCTGTTGTCCTTTGTACGTTACAGTGCTCTCTCAATATTCGCAGTGCCAACAGAGACCATAGCCGCAAATAAACAGTCCAGAGATGGGTATTGGGAGACGGATTATTTTATGTATGCAGCCTAATTTGTGCGCAATGCACATCAGGGAGCTTGTGTTTTACTTTCACTTACAAATTCGTGACCGCGCGTATAGGGAGCAGCGGTGCTGAGCGCGCATTCTACAAGATAAGACATTTACCAGACGTTTAGTCTGTTGCGCAACGAATCCTCCGCCATCGTCATGCGATCAGTGAACTGTGATTCGTGCTGCACTGATTGCAACGGCAACTCGTGCTGGATGAGCAGAGCAGACTTTTGCATTAGTTTATAATGGTTTTTATTTTTTTATAAAAACAACAAAACGATAGTTTAGGCGAATGTGAGTGTAGCGGTGGAATATTAATGGGGATATCGCGAGACAGCTTTTTCACTCGACGAGAAATCTCGTCATATTTAGTCTCGCGAGATCTCGTGGCACGAGATCTCGTCACACCCCTAATAACTATAATGAGGACTATATCGATGACTATAACGATAACTATTATGATGACTAACGATAATTATAACGATAACTATAATGAGGACTATATTGATGACTATAACGATAATTATAACGATAACTATAATGATGACTATATCATGACTATAACAATAACTATTACGATGATTATAACGATAATTACAACGATAATTATAACGATAACTGTAATGAGGACTATATCGATGACTAACGATAACTATTATGATGACTAACGATAATTATAACGATAACTATTATGATGACTAACGATAATTATAACGATAACTATAATGAGGACTATATCGATGACTATTACGATAATTATAACGATAACTATAATGAGGACTATATTGATGACTATAACGATAACTATAATGAGGACTATATCGATGACTAAAACGATAACTATTATGATGACTAACGATAATTATAACGATAACTATAATGAGGACTATATCGATGACTATAACGATAACTATTATGATGACTAACGATAATTATAACGATAACTATAATGAGGACTATATCGATGACTAAAACGATAACTATTATGATGACTAACGATAATTATAACGATAACTATAATGAGGACTATATCGATGACTATAACGATAACTATTATGATGACTAACGATAATTATAACGATAACTATAATGAGGACTATATTGATGACTATAACGATAATTATAACGATAACTATAATGATGACTATATCATGACTATAACAATAACTATTACGATGATTATAACGATAATTACAACGATAATTATAACGATAACTGTAATGAGGACTATATCGATGACTAACGATAACTATTATGATGACTACCGATAATTATGACGATAACTATTATGATGACTAATGATAATTATAACGATAACTATAATGAGGACTATATCGATGACTATAACGATAATTATAACGATAACTATAATGAGGACTATATCAATGACTATAACGATAATTGCAACGATAATTATAACGATAACTATAATGAGGACTATATCGATAACTATAATACAAGGATAATTATAACGATAACTATAATAAGGACTATATCGATAACTATAACGATAATTACAATGATAATTATAATGATAACTATAATAAGGACTATATCGATAACTATAACGATAATTATAACGATGACTATAATGAGGACTATATCGATGACTATAACGATGACTATAACGATGATTATAACTAAAACGATGACTATAACTATAACGATGACTATAACTATAACGATGACTATAACGATAATTACAACGATAATTATAATGATAACTATGGACAATATATTGATGACTATAATAACTATAATCCATGTGAGACACATGTCTTATATTACACATGTTCTGGGGTTATATGATGGGGTTTAGTGAAAAACAAACTGAAATTTAATGTATTATTTAATGAAAATCCTGCCCTTGGCGTTGGTGTGAGAAATCAAGATAATAATTAAGATAAGATAATTTAATTCCCATTTTAGGGTGAACTATCCCTTTAAATGCTCGCGCTCTTTAAAGCAGGATGGATTCTGATTGGCTGTCATTGTTTTTTATAATTTAACAGCTAGAAAAAAAATCTTTCTGAAAGTGATTCCAGTGGTATTGTTTCTCAGAGCCGTTATCATTATAGTTGTGGTGTGGATTCTGATATCCTTTTATATTTAGAACGATTTTTAGATCTATATCTTTATCGTTATCGCTATAGTTATCATTTTTGGTGTGAACGTTTTTTGTTTTGTTTTTTACATTCAAATTGGTTTTGTTTATTTCAAATTGATTCCTTTTCAGGTTAAAATTGTAACACGTGTTATTTGCCAAGTAATTAGAGTGATGTTATATAGGCCTAAATCAGATCTGATGAGCACGTGCACATGGCTGATAAACTTAATTGTATTTTGTATTAGTTTGCTTCATTCATAATGTACTTTACACAAAAACGATGTCCTAATAAATCTCTTCTTGAGCCCGTGAAGGTTTGATCTGTGAGCAGCAGCGCCACCTCGTGGAGGAAAGTCAGCATGGCAGAAAACTTGAATATGTAACTATATCAACTAGGCTCCTAGTTCGCTTTGCTCGCAGTGTGTTTGCGTGTAGTCTGGTGTTACTATTAGACCCCTGTTACTGCCACTGTTTCATAGTTTTAATTAATGTTTCCATTATTTTCTAAATCTAGTTCTACTCTTTTGTATCTGTGTGTCTCTGTCGCCACCTCGCGACGCGTTGCTGTAACTGCAGCACAACTGCGCACTGAAAACCGCCACAAAAAACACGTACATAATCATGAAATTCTTTATCATCGAAATACATTAAACCTCTCGGATTTATCAGGGATTTATAAGCAAATTAGAGTGGCACGAGTGCAAAAACTCTCAGGTTTTGAGCGCGCGCTGCAGTTCTGCTTCCGCCGGAAGTCGAGTCAGCAGAGAGATTCACTTCCTGGAGAGTGTTTGTGCTGCTGCTGGATTATTTTCCTGCGTGTGTTTGTGTGTTTGCTCGTTCTTAAATCTCGTGTTGTTGTTATTGTTGATGATGGTTTACGGCTGCTGTCCGAACTGACTGCTGTCGGGTGAGTTCTGCTCGTTCTTCACGGATTGGGAATGTGTGATATGTCCGCCAGGAAACAGCAGCTGATGAATGTAAACACGTCAGTTTGACACATCAAGCTCTTCATTCAGAAACGCGTTGATTCTCCTCGGATGATATACATATTTAATAGAATGCGTTTTTATTATCATCTACTTTGTTTTATTCCGAACTGTCGCTTGTTTTCGTGTTTATTCAAAGCTGCTGCTTTCTCTTTCAGTTTGACAGATATCATCTGTATAATAAAAGCCCCGTCATACACACACCTTATACATATTTTATTGTTAATATTAATATGAAATGTTTTGTAATGTTAGGATATATTTGCATGTGATGTTATTATTAATATTATATGTCATTATTGGTTTCACTTTTAGCGGTACTATGTTATAGATTTATAAGTATTATAGCATTTATAGAATTAAAATATTATACAATTTCTCACTTATTGAAGTATTTTTATTATAGACTACATTTAAAAGATGTCAAATAATTTGTCACAGCCAGCGATATACCAAACATATTATTATTATTGTAATATCATAGCATTATTATTGCAGAATTCATGTAAAAATTATTGTTTATAATTGTTTAAATATTATATTATTATTTATTATTATTAATAGTACTCTGTGGTTATTATATCATAATAAATATTATATTAAATGTATTATTGTATTATATATTTAGTTTTTGAGTTATTAAATCGTGATTACTATTATATTAATCAATTATTAAATAATATTGGATTTTAAATGACTAAACAATTATAATAATATTAAACTAATACATAATATTATATTAAATCAAGATTAAGAACTATTAAACTATTAAAATTATAATGAAAAATTAAAGAATTAAAATTAAGAACTATTATTATTATATTAATTTAAGATCTATTGTTTTAATAAATAATTAATTATTATTTTATTGAGGTGTTAAATTATTACAGTGGTTATTCATTCTTAAATATGTAATATATATATATATATCATGAAAATTATAAATGTTATATTATTACAATATTAAAGAATTAAATATTTTTAGATTGCTAAATTATTATATTAAATTAAGTATTAATATTTTCTTAAATATTATTTTGTTGAGTTATGAAATGATTACTATTATATTATTCAGTTATTACATATATCTTTTAATTATTAACAATTATAATATTATTACATTAATACAAAACATTAAATTCAATTAAGTATTTTTATATTATTAATATTATTGCATTATTATTAAAGGATAAAATAGTATGATGTTGAATTTATTCAATAATAATACTTGTTATTATTATTATATTAAATATTACTAGTAAAATATTGTATAATAATATTAAAATTCAGTTAAAATATAGTTAAAATAATTAAGGCATGTTTTCCACACTGTTTCTCAGTTAATGAAAACAAGGAAATGTGGTATTTTTTTATTATTTATTTAACAATACATTGTCATAAATGCCAATAATTATCCAAATATATTTTTACTAAAACGGAAAAAATGACATATTGAGACTGTGATGATGTAAACAAATCATTGAATCATTGATCTTTATAAAATAATAATTTTCTGTGCATTAAATGTATAATAGTACAAATTATTAATATAGTCTATCAATATCAGCCATATATATATATATATACAGTCAAAACAAAAACAAAATTCACCATATATAATTTTTGATATTTTTTTATGTGCAAAATAAAGTAAACTGTGACATATTATACCCCAATATTCTTCATACAGCGACTACAGTGACATTAATAAACATCTTTGAGCAATAATGATTCCTCCACTTTGAGCTGATCATGTTTTGCTGAAGTGTGTTTTCTGTAATTGCTAATGCTCTTTTTACACACACACTGAACAACATGAAGCATTGCTTGGTCACTGGTTGAGCTAAACTGGTATTATCTAATTGTGTAGTTAAATTTAACAGCTGACAGATATTCAACATAATTCATGTGTGAGAGTCTAACAGAAGGACGGACAAAACCAGTCAAATATCAACTGATCTGAGAACTGAGTTCTGCTCATATTTATTACCGTTTTCTAAACTATAGCGAATAAACTGATAATGTGAGAAATGTTGAAGGAGTCTGAATACATCTTGGTTTGACTGTAAATATACCTGTATGTGTGTGTGTGTGTGTGTCCAGCTGTGGAATGGAGTCTCCCGCGGTGGACGATGACATCTGTATCCTGAAGCATGAGGCGTACGGGCCGCCCGAGAGCCCGGTGTGTGTGTGTGCCGGAGACGAGTCTGTGGCGTCGCACTTCGCTCTCGTCACGGCGTACGAGGACATCAAGAAGAGGCTGAGAGACACGGAGCGAGAGAACGGGCTCCTGAGGAGGAGAGTCAAACAGCTGGAGGACAAGGTACACACACACACACACTCACACACACACACACACACTCACACACACACTCACACACACACACTCACACACACACACACACACACGGAGCGAGAGAACGGGCTCCTGAGGAGGAGAGTCAAACAGCTGGAGGACAAGGTATACACACACACACACACTCACACACACACACACTCTCACACACACACACACGGAGCGAGAGAACGGGCTCCTGAGGAGGAGAGTCAAACAGCTGGAGGACAAGGTACACACACACACACACTCTCACACACACTCACACACACACACACTCACACACACACACACACACACACACACACACACACACACACACACACACGGAGCGAGAGAACGGGCTCCTGAGGAGGAGAGTCAAACAGCTGGAGGACAAGGTACACACACACACACACTCACACACACACACACACACTCACACACACACTCACACACACACACTCACACACACACACACACACACGGAGCGAGAGAACGGGCTCCTGAGGAGGAGAGTCAAACAGCTGGAGGACAAGGTATACACACACACACACACTCACACACACACACACTCTCACACACACACACACGGAGCGAGAGAACGGGCTCCTGAGGAGGAGAGTCAAACAGCTGGAGGACAAGGTACACACACACACACACTCTCACACACACTCACACACACACACACTCACACACACACACACACACACACACACACACACACACACACACACACACACGGAGCGAGAGAACGGGCTCCTGAGGAGGAGAGTCAAACAGCTGGAGGACAAGGTACACACACACACACACTCACACACACACTCACACACACACACACTCACACACACACACTCACACACACACACTCACACACACACACACGGAGCGAGAGAACGGGCTCCTGAGGAGGAGAGTCAAACAGCTGGAGGACAAGGTATACACACACACACACTCACACACACACACTCACACACACACACACACACACACACACACACGGAGCGAGAGAACGGGCTCCTGAGGAGGAGAGTCAAACAGCTGGAGGACAAGGTATACACACACACACACTCACACACACACACACACACACACACACACACACACACACACACACACACACACACACACACGGAGCGAGAGAACGGGCTCCTGAGGAGGAGAGTCAAACAGCTGGAGGACAAGGTATACACACACACACACTCACACACACACACACACACTCACACACACACACACGGAGCGAGAGAACGGGCTCCTGAGGAGGAGAGTCAAACAGCTGGAGGACAAGGTATACACACACACACACACTCACACACACACACACACACACACACACACACACACACACACGGAGCGAGAGAACGGGCTCCTGAGGAGGAGAGTCAAACAGCTGGAGGACAAGGTACACACACACACACACTCTCACACACACTCACACACACACACACTCACACACACACACACACACACACACACACACACACACGGAGCGAGAGAACGGGCTCCTGAGGAGGAGAGTCAAACAGCTGGAGGACAAGGTATACACACACACACACTCACACACACACACACACACTCACACACACACACACGGAGCGAGAGAACGGGCTCCTGAGGAGGAGAGTCAAACAGCTGGAGGACAAGGTATACACACACACACACACTCACACACACACACACACACACACACACACACACGGAGCGAGAGAACGGGCTCCTGAGGAGGAGAGTCAAACAGCTGGAGGACAAGGTATACACACACACACACACTCACACACACACACACACACACACACACACACACGGAGCGAGAGAACGGGCTCCTGAGGAGGAGAGTCAAACAGCTGGAGGACAAGGTATACACACACACACACTCACACACACACACACACACACACACACACACACGGAGCGAGAGAACGGGCTCCTGAGGAGGAGAGTCAAACAGCTGAATATGAGGTGCCCCTAGGGACATTATTCAGAATTACCTTGCATATACATGTACTTTTCCTCTCACATACACATATAAAACCAAATTCATTCACATACTATAATGAAATGCTCACACACATACAAGTGAAATGCTTTGACAAACACAACTGAAACGCTCTCATACATACAACTGAAAATATTACGCTCACACACACAACTGAAACGCTCACACACACACAACTGAAACGCTCACACACACACAACTGAAACGCTCACACACACACAACTGAAATGCTCACACACATACAAGTGAAATGCTTTTACAAACACAACTGAAACGCTCACACACACAACTGAAACGCTCACACACACACAACTGAAACGCTCACACACACACAACTGAAACGCTCACATACATACAACTGAAAATATTACGCTCACACACACAACTGAAACGCTCACACACACACAACTGAAATGCTCACACACATACAAGTGAAATGCTTTTACAAACACAACTGAAACGCTCACACACACAACTGAAACGCTCACACACACACAACTGAAACGCTCACACACACACAACTGAAATGCTCACACACACAACTGAAACGCTCACACACACACAAGTGAAATGCTCACACACATACAAGTGAAATGCTTTTACAAACATAACTGAAACGCTCTCACTCACACAACTGAAAATCATTTCAGTATGTTGTATGCAAGCATTTCAGTTGAAACGGAAGGTGGTTAGAGTCCCCGCCCACTCCAGCAGGGTTGCCAGATGCCAAGGTTTTCCATCACAAAACCTCGCCAAAAACTGTGAGAATGCACAAAAAAACGCCCAAATTTGTTTTGGCTTGTTTCTCGTTTAAACACAGTGAAATCATTAGCAAGCTTTAAAATTACCCATGCTCCCTGTACTTTTGCGTCCATTCGTTTTCCCCTTTTTAACCCGTAATTGAAAAACGAAAAACGGTTGTTGTTGGCCCTATTTTTAAAACGCAAAGTTGAACACCAAAATTTGAATTTGAATTGTATACACCACATATGCAAGGTAATTCTGAATAATGTCCCTAGGGGCACCTCATAGCTGAAGGACAAGGTATACACACACACACACTCTCACACACACTCACACACACACACACACACTCTCACACTCACTCACACACACACACACACACACACACACTCTCACACACACTCACACACACACACACACACACTCTCACACACACTCACACACACACACTCTCACACACACACACACACACACACACACACTCACACACACACATGGAGCGAGAGAACGGGCTCCTGAGGAGGAGAGTCAAACAGCTGGAGGACAAGGTACACACACACTCACACACACACACACACACACACACACACACTCTCACACACACTCACACACACACACACACACACACACACACTCACTCAGTCAGTCATACACACACTCACTCACTCTCTCTCTCACACACACACACACACACACACACACACACTCACTCACTCAGTCAGTCATACACACACTCACTCACTCACTCTCTCTCTCACACACACACACACACACACACACACTCACTCACTCAGTCAGTCATACACACACTCACTCACTCACTCTCTCTCTCTCACACACACACACTCACTCACTCAGTCAGTCATACACTCACTCACTCACTCTCTCTCTCACACACACACACACACACACACACACACACACTCACTCATCAAATCATCATATTAGAGTGATTTCTGAAGGATCATGTGACACTGAAGACTGGAGTAATGATGCTGAAAATTCAGCTTTGATCACAGGAATAAATTACACTTTACTGTATATTCACATAGAGAACAGCTGATTTACATTATAATAATATTTCAGTGTTTTTACTTTAATAACCGCAGCTGGTGAGCAGAAGAGGCTGATGTCTGATGTTTGCATGTTTCAGCACTTCCGGCCCGAAGCGCCGCCGTCGGAAGGGCCTCAGTACATGAACCAGGCGTTCAGCGCGTACCGCGGCATCTACATCGAGAAGGAGGACCTGCAGATGGAGCTGCGCAAGCTGGTACGACGAGCAGAACCCCCAGCATGCAACAGGACACTGACATGACACATTTAAAATGTCTTCCTTTCTGTTCCACCGATGAAAGAAAGTCCTGCAGGTTTGAATGAGGGAAATGATGAAGACCATCCAAATAAATCACAGTGACTCGTAGCTTTTCTGGGGTGTGTTTCCCGTACAACATCTCTGCTGTGGGCCGAGGTTACACACACACACACACACACATATAAACACCGGCATGGGCTGCTTACTGGGCGTCTCAGGCCTCTCCACTGTCATGGTGCGCTGAACCACACACACACACACACACACACCTGTGAGCTCGGGTGTGTTTCCCATATAACGCTGTAACTCGCTGCATATTACATTTACATTTATTCATTTAGCAGACGGTTTTATCCAAAGCTTTTACTTTTACCCGAGCTCACAGGTGTGTGTGTGTGTGTGTGTGTGTAACCTCGAACCACAGCAGAGATGTTATATGGGAAACACACCCCAGAAAAGTTATGCCCACACCCCAGAAACTCTGCTTCTAACCGCAGGTCGAGATCTGTCGCTCACACACACTCCTCTGCGATGCTGTCGCTCACACACACTCCTCTGCGATGCTGTCGCTCACACGATGCTGTCGCTCACACACACTCCTCTGCGATGCTGTTGCTCACACACACTCCTCTGCGATGCTGTCGCTCACACACACTCCTCTGCGATGCTGTTTGCGAACGATGTTTTCGGGAAACAGTGACTCGTTGAACTGATGATAACCACAGAACCGGCGACCATAGTTGGCTAACGATGCTTTCGGGAAACAAAAACTAACCATCACTGAACTTACTTAAAGGGGTGGTAAAATGCCATTTTCACAAGATGTAAAATAAATCTCTGATGTCCCCAGAGTGTGTGTGAAGGTTTAGCTCAAAATACCCCACAGATATTTTTATATAGCATGTTAAAGTTGTCACTTTTTGAGGGTGAGCAAAAACGCACCGTTTTGTGCCTGGCCCTTTAAATGCAAATGAGCCGCTGCAGAGAGCGGGGCTTCAAGAGCTTGTGTGTGTGTGTGTGTGTGTGTGTGTGTGTTAGCAGCTGCGATTACCTCAGTCAAAGATGGAGAGACTCAAGAAGTACAACATGTAGAATCCAACAGGACGTCTCTGAATGGTTAGTTGATGAATTTATGTTGCTGATGTGGAGTTAAAGGCACAATATGTAAGATTTCCGCCACAAGAGGGCGCAGTGTCCAACAATAACACAGGCGTAGGTTGATGACGCAGTGATGAACTGAATGATGGGACTTGCTGTCAAGCTCATGGATCTAATAATGTTTATGGATGAGTGCAAACATTCATGTTTTTAAACATTGCAGTGGTATGAAGCAGGTCGCGATTGCTAAAGAGACAGATATCACACGCGAGTCCCGCGGATATAGAGGAATAAGGACATTTAATTCTACCGAACCCGCGAGTGCTGGATTACTCACACAGGTCAGTTTATTAGACCAATTAAACTAGTGAGGTAACGCAGTGCTGCTTCACTCGGTCTAACGTTACACTATCACACTAAACGGCATTTAAATGTGTGTTGAAAGTTATAATGTTATACTACGTGTTAGTTCGTTTGCTATACGAAACTAGCAGTGAGCTAGATCAACATTAGAATAACATACTGACCATATTCTAACATTTCATCATGTTGAGCTAACGTTATATAACATTGATTTGTTTTATGTACATTTGCTCACCTGTCTAATAAAGCTGTCGTGACTCGTGAAGCTCTGTCGAGTCTGAGTTAGTCGCGGACGCTAGCTCTCGGCATCTCACAAACGCCACGCTGATATTGATCCTCATTTTAGTTCTCCTTGTTTGTCCCAAAGTCTGCTTGCCATGGTCTATGTTTGAAAGAAAGGAGAACTGCGTGCCGCTAAACGTTACGCACTGCGCAGTTGTCCGCGTCTGTCGACATGGTTACATCATGGCTATGGTAGTACGAGCGGAAACCCAGGATAGCGGATATTGCGTCATTGACAGGCGACATTTTTTTCCGGGACGGCCACTTATTTAAAATTGGAATTTCTCTGAAATAAAAAATCTTTGGAGACTTTTGGGATATTGTAAGTACACAACTGCAGGAAATATATCACACTGTGCAAGTGATTTTTGGATATTTTATTACAAAATTCTTACATATTGTACCTTTATCTTCAATTAGCATATTCTGTCAGGATAATCTATAAATCGCTGGTATAGGAACTGTTGTGAGATGCACACAGAGTGACTTTCTATTGCATGTATAAAGACGGATGCTACAGTTTGAGCTGACTCACAAATGTGCTCGACTACAACAGCTCTTCCGTCCCGGGGGGCGGGGCTTATGTACATTTTAGGGTCTGTGATGTCACTAACCCGGGAGGAAGCTCGTGTAGTTCTACCAGCCGTTTGTTGTAGTCCTTTTCTTTAAAAGCAAATATCTTCCTTTGCTTTGAACTGTGAGCGTTGTAACTTTGATAATGTTGTTTATGCTCAAACAGCAACATTACACACTAACTACAGCTAGAGAAGTGAAATCATACTTTACCGCCGCTTTAAGCTGGACTGTGACGCTATTCTCTTCTGGAAACAAACTTTTCTAAAAAAAGGAAAAGTTTTTTGTTTGTTTTTTACTTTAAAGAAAGGATATGTAAATAAATGAGTCTTGGGATCAGTTTTAAATAGATAAAGGTAAAGATATGTGTGTGTTTTCCTCCAGAAGAAGGAGAGAGTGGATGTGGAGCGTGTTCTGGCGGAGCAGCTTCAGGCCCGAGAACTGGAGATCCTGCAACTCAAGTCCGAGATGGAGACCAGCCAAGGTGACATCCGCGTATTAATATACCGTAGATGATGTGTGATATATATTAATATACCGTAGATGATGTGCGATATATATTAATATACCGTAGATGATGTGTGATATATATTAATATACCGTAGATGATGTGTGATATATATTAATATACCGTAGATGATGTGTGATATATATTAATATACCGTAGATGATGTGCGATATATATTAATATACCGTAGATGATGTGTGATATATATTAATATACCGTAGATGATGTGTGATATATATTAATATACCGTAGATGATGTGTGATATATATTAATATACCGTAGATGATGTGTGTGATGTATAACTGACGAGCCACGGTGACATCCGCGTATTAATATACCATAGATGATGTGTGATATATATTAATATACCGTAGATGATGTGTGATATATATTAATATACCGTAGATGATGTGTGATGTATAACTGACATTTTTACAGTAAACCACAGAGCTTTGAAAGTGAAATATGATATTATTACATTATTAAATAGCATTTATGTTCAAGGTAGAGTTTTTTTCGAGTAATTTTTTTGTGTAAATGCATTAAAATAACTTCCACTTGTTATTGAAGAACAGCAATTTTTCTTTTGATTACATTATAATAGCATTAGAAAAACGTTACCAAACAATTATAATATTATTAAAATAATAAATATTATATTAAATTAAGTGTTATTATTGGATTAAATGTTATTTTGTTGAGTTATTATTACATTATATTATTAAATAATGTCATATTATTCAATGACTGAAGAATTATTATATTATTTAACTAATAAATATATTTATTTAAGAACTATTTATTTATAAAATTATAAAATATTAAATTGAGGTATTAACATTATTTATATATAATTATATAAAATATATACACTCACCGGCCACTTTATTAGGTACCCCATGCTAGTAACGGGTTGGACCCCCTTTTGCCTTCAGAACTGCCTCAATTCTTCGTGGCATAGATTCAACAAGGTGCTGGAAGCATTCCTCAGGGAGTTTGGTCCATATTGACATGATGGCATCACACAGTTGCCGCAGATTTGTCGGCTGCACATCCATGATGCGAATCTCCCGTTCCACCACATCCCAAAGATGCTCTATTGGGTTGAGATCTGGTGACTGTGGAGGCCATTTTAGTACAGTGAACTCATTGTCATGTTCAAGAAACCAATTTGAAATGATTAGAGCTTTGTGACATGGTGGAAGTAGCCATCAGAGGATGGGTACATGGTGGCCATAAAGGGATGGACATGGTCAGAAACAATGCTCAGGTAGGCCGTGGCATTTAAACGATGCCCAATTGGCACTAAGGGGCCTAAAGTGTGCCAGGAAAACATCCCCCACACCATTACACCACCACCACCAGCCTGCACAGTGGTAACAAGGCATGATGGTTCCATGTTCTCATTCTGTTTACGCCAAATTCTGACTCTAACATCTGAATGTCTCAACAGAAATCGAGACTCATCAGACCAGGCAACATTTTTCCAGTCTTCAACTGTTCAATTTTGGTGAGCTCTTGCAAATTGTAGCCTCTTTTTCCTATTTGTAGTGGAGATGAGTGGTACCCGGTGGAGTCTTCTGCTGTTGTAGCCCATCCGCCTCAAGGTTGTGCGTGTTGTGGCTTCACAAATGCTTTGCTGCATACCTCGGTTGTAACGAGTGGTTATTTCAGTCACTGTTGCCCTTCTATCAGCTCGAACCAGTCTGGCCATTCTCCTCTGACCTCTGGCATCAACAAGGCATTTCCGCCCACAGAACTGCCGCTCACTGGATGTTTTTTCTTTTTCGGACCATTCTCTGTAAACCCTAGAGATGGTTGTGCGTGAAAATCCCAGTAGATTAGCAGTTTCTGAAATACTCAGACCAGCCCTTCTGGCACCAACAATCATGCCACGTTCAAAGTCACTCAAATCACCTTTCTTCCCCATACTGATGCTCGGTTTGAACTGCAGGAGATTGTCTTGACCATGTCTACATGCCGAAATGCACGTAGTTGCCGCCATGTGATTGGCTGCTTAGAAATTAAGTGTTAACGAGCAGTTGGACAGGTGTACCTAATAAAGTGGCCGGTGAGTGTATATATATATTTAATTATAAATGTTATATTAGTACATTATTAAAATATTAAATATTATTAGATTGTTGAATGATTCGGTTATTATTATTATTATTATATTAAAGTAAGTATTATTGTTTTATTAAATTACTAAATATTTTATTGTTGAGTTATTAAATGGTTACCTTTATGTTATTCAATTATTAAGTATACTTATATATATATATATATATCTAAATAATTATATATTATTAAATAATAAAGTATTAATATTATTTTATTAATGTCATTTTGTTGAGTTATTAAATGATTACTATTATAATATTATTATTATTTTTAATTATTTACAATTATAATATTATTACATTAATAAATATCTTTATATTAAATAAAGTATTTTTATATCATGAAAACTATTAAAATATATATAATATTACATTGTTGAATTTATTAAGTAGTAATAATAATTATTATAATAAATGTTGCTAATAAAATATTAAATATTGTTAAATTATTAAATTATCATATTATTAGAAGTTACTAGTAAAATATTATATAATTAAACTAAACTACAGTTAAAATATAGAATCCACACTTTTCTCAGTACATGAAAAAAATGAATAATACACAGTCACAAACAGCAATAATTCTCCAAATATATTTTGACTGAATGTAAAAATGACACATTGAGGCTTTGAATCATTGAATCCCAGTATATCATGAATGATCATTGCATTGAGTATTGTGTTGCATCATCAAGCTTCTCTTGTTTGTGTGTGTGTGTGTGTGTGTGTGTGTTCAGTGATGAGGAGTCTGACGGAGACAGCGGATCACTGGCAGGACACACACAGCAGTGCGATGCAGATCCAGTCTCTGCAGGAGCATCTGGAGCGCGTTCAGCTGGAGAATAACTCTCTCCACGAGCTCTGCCGGGCCGGTCAGGTGCGTCTCCGCCTCAGCACACCTCAGAGTTCACACACTGCGCCTTAAAGCCCCTCAGAGCAAACGCTTCTTAGACTTAGACTTCTCTTTATTAATCCTTTTGGGATGACTCCCGCAAGGAAATTGAAAATTCCAGCAACAGTTTTAGCAAGGAGGAAAGAGAATAGTAGAAATAAAAAAGACAGTACAAAAAAAGCAAAATAACAGTAGTAATAATGATAATAATAATAATAACATTAATCAGAGGTAAACATACTGAGGTAAAAATTCACAATGTTGAGTTTTTTTATTTATAACATATGATATAGTTGAGTAGCATAACATGACGGGAGCTATTTTGCTGAAGATTCTCACGATTGCAAATGTCACATTGATTTTAGTTCAATAAACAAGTAGTTCATATTAAATTACTTCAATTACTTAGGTTAAATATTACATATCATGTGTATTTCCATCACAGGTTTGGTCTTAAATTTCATTCAAAGTGGCGTTAAAAAGTCTTAAATTTAACTTGTTTATATCTGTAGACACCCTGTGGTGTTTGCATATGAATGTGTGTGTGCAGTGTGTGGACACAACCTCCACACAATAAAGAAAATCCATTCTCTCCTTTTTTTTTTTTTATCCTCAAATAGGCTAAACACTCTCAAAAATCAGGCCGTTTGGATTTTCTGAGCAATATGATGTCATAATGTGTGTGTATATATATATATAGTGCGTGTCATTCATGATGTTCTTCTCGTCACAGAATTCCTCTGAAAAGTGTGTAGATCATGATGATCAGTCCCATGAAATAATGACAGACTTCAGGTATTTATGATTTTCTTTCATATTCGTGTGTGTGTGTGTGTTTGTCCACTAGAGGGCGTGAGTGTAACAGCTGTAAGATGGACCAATGAAAGTACATTTAGAATTGAACACATTCACTAATGTAAATCAAGGGACAGGTTCCCACAGTTATGAAAAATATCAGGAAATATTAAAAACTTCTATATTTTTTGAGAATTTTTATAGTGAATACACATTTCTCCTGTTGCTCAGATATTTTATATGTAGAGTAAAACCTGTTTGCCTGATGTGTCATGATGATGGTCTATTAGTTTACTAGTTTAAAGTTAGTTTTGATATTATATCTTTGCCAGTTTTGCACAGTAAATCTCTTGCCACTGCAGATATTCACACATGCAGCTTGAAGGCATAATTGCTCAGAGTGATGATGGCATGTGATGTGTGTGTGTGTGTGTGTGTGTGTGTGTTCAGGACGATGGCCATCTCTCAGTCGTACCAGGACGTCCTCAGAGAAGTGTCGCGCCTGCACTCGGTCGTGCGCTCTCAGGCGGAGCTGGTGAGGAGGCTGAGGGAGAGGCCGGTGCTCAGGAGAGGTGAGTCACGGTCAACACATATCAAGACATTTAAAGTCTTCATTTACTCTCCCTCGTGGCACTCCAACTCTTACTTTATTACTATTATAGTGTTCGAATTACACCGTGAGCTTCGGGGGGGTACAGCTATTTCGACTGGTCACTCTCCATTTGGGGGTTCACATTTTCTATTTCTCTGATATGTGCATTTTAAGACGTTTGAAGGCCAAAAAAAGCATGAGAAACAGCTTTAAACCATGTTATCTGTCAACACCTGCTCTCTCCATCACCCTTCCTCTCAGATCCTCATCTTGCCCTGTCTCTTCCCCTCCTAAAGATGAGCTTTTTTAATGTACTGAAGGCTACAAATTGTATTATATTAATTCTCAATATGTACAAATTCATTATTAATCTCGTGCCTAACAGGATGTAAACGGCTTTGTTAATGTGTCTTGTCCCCTCACAATGACAGTAACTAATTATAGGCTACATTACATGAGTCGGTACATAGGCCTATTCTCAGTTCAAAATGCCGAAATTAGACAAAAGTTTATTAGTTTGCCTGATTATTTTTGTAATTCGTTTAACATTTATGACCTGAAAATGGTAAATTATGAAATGTTTAGTTTAGCTACTTGCATCTTATCTCGCACTTGACCGTAAACTGAAGCGTCGAGTCGCGCTCAGCAGCTTCTGTGAACATAAAGCCCGCCTACTTTGATTCGATTGGTCATCTCAAATATTCTGACATTGACGAGCAGTGACAGACCAATGAGGCTCAGATGAACACACACACACACACACACACACACACACACACACACACACACACACACACTGTCCTCTGTCTCTGACGCCGCTGCGGATTGAAGATGAAGAACACACTGAATTTGATTTTAACAAGACTGACGTGAACACAAATTCGTGTAGCCTACATAATTACTAATTATTAAAAAAATTCGGTAACGCTTCCTTTTACAGTCCTGTGACCCATGTACATACTATGTACTACTTATAGTAATTACAATTACTGGGTAATAACTAGGTACTAACCCTGAACCGATCCCTAACCCATGTACTTACCTTATATTAGCCAGTACTTTCTAGGTAAGTACACGTAAGTACTGTACTGTAAAAGGAAGCGTTACCAAAAATTAAAAAAATTCCCAAAGCATTACCAAAAATTCGGTCCAAGTCTCATCAAGGGGGGTCGGACCCCCCCTGACCCCAGCAATTCGAACTATGATTATTATTATAGTGGTATTTTATTTTTATATATATATATATATATATAATTTACCATCTACTTTCATTGTGTCGCCCTTTATGGATCCTGGTTTCCAACTTTCCGCCATGGAATAAAAATATAAAATTGGTCATTGCGATTTTTTTTTTTTTTTTTTTTTTACAATTGGAAGTTTATATCTCTCAATTGCAAGTATAAACTCACTGTTGATCTCGCAATTTTGACTTTTTTTCTTGTAAAAGCGAGTTTCCATCACACAAATTTGACCTTTTTGTAATACAGTTTTGCATCTCACAATTTAGAATTTTTTCTCAGAATTCTGAGTTTAAATCTCGCAATTTTTACTTTTTTCTCTGAATTCTGAGTTTAAATCTCGCAATTTTTACTTTTTTCTCTGAATTCTGAGTTTAAATCTCGCAATTTTTACTTTTTTCTCTGAATTCTGAGTTTAAATCTCGCAATTTTTACTTAGTTCTCAGAATTCTGAGTTTAAATCTCGCAATTTTTACTTTTTTCTCTGAATTCTGAGTTTAAATCTCGCAATTTTTACTCTTTCTCAGAATTCTGAGTTTAAATCTCGCAATTTTTACTTTTTTCTCTGAATTCTGAGTTTAAATCTCGCAATTTTTCCTCTTTCTCAGAATTCTGAGTTTAAATCTCGCAATTTTTACTTTTTTCTCTGAATTCTGAGTTTAAATCTCGCAATTTTTACTTAGTTTTCAGAATTCTGAGTTTAAATCTCGCAATTTTTACTTTTTTCTCTGAATTCTGAGTTTAAATCTCGCAATTTTTACGCTTTCTCAGAATTCTGAGTTTAAATCTCGCAATTTTTACTCTTTCTCAGAATTCTGAGTTAAAATATTGCAATTTTTACTTTTTTCTCAGAATTCTGAGTTTAAATCTCGCAATTTTTACTCTTTCTCAGAATTCTGAGTTTAAATCTCGCAGTTTTTACTTAGTTCTCAGAATTCTGATTTTAAATCTCGCAATTTTTACTTTTTTCTCTGAATTCTGAGTTTAAATCTCGCAATTTTGAATTTATTCTCAGAATTCTGAGTTTAAATCTCGCAATTTTGAATTCTTTCTCAGAATTCTGTTTAAATCTCAATTTTTACATTTTCTCAGAATTCTGAGTTTAAATCTCACAATTTTGAATTTTTTCTTAGAATTCTGTTTATATCTAAAAAAAAAAATACTTTTTCTCCGAATTCTTAGTTTGCGTCTCGCAATTATTACTTTTTTCTCAATTCTGCGTTTAAATCTCACAATTTTTACTTTTTTCTCAGAATTCTGAGTTTAAATCTCGCAATTTTGACCTTTTTTTGTAATTGTGAGTTTACATCCCACAATTCAAACTTTACTTTCCTCTAGATTCTGAGTTTAAAAAATAAAAAAACATTGCTGGAGCAACAGTAGATTGAGTAAATGAAAAGATAAGCACGAGAGATAATAAAATAATGATTGTAATATACAGCCCGTCATTCTCATTTGTTATCTTCAGATCTCTTGATTTGAAGTCAGAATATGGAAAACAATAATCCATCATACCCACAGCTTCCTGATGTGACTGTATTAGCGTTTACATTTATGCATTTGACAGATGCTTTTATACTAAGCGACATCTCAGTCAAGCTATACATTTGTTTCTTCAGTTCGTGAATCAAACCCTTGACCTTACATAATAGATACTTACAATAACAGACAGAAACACCTGTATTATATAGCGCTTTGCACAATACAGGCTGTTTTAAAGCAGTCATTTCTAGGAATCAGTTGAAACTGTTTAATTGAATCAATTTAGAACTGATTCAGTCATTCAGATGTTCACGAAAGCCTTTTCTTTTTTTAATGTATTAAAATGTCTTTGTCAGAATTTATTGTTATACTGGACATATAAATCAATATTTAAGTTATTTGAGAGTAAATGCATGATATACACATATTAAAATGGTGAAAAATGCCAGGATGGTTCACAGGCTTAAACGTGAGCTATTAAACAGAAGTGTTTCGCACTTAGAGAAAGTGTGAATGTGGCCATTAGATAATCATTTCTACTACCTGTCTGTATTAATTATGCGTATCTACACTGAAAAAAATTATAAACGCAACACGTTAGTTTTTGCCCCCATTTTTCATGTGCTGAACTCACATTTTAGAGTGGCCTTTCGTTGTGGACAGCCTAAGGCACACCTGTGCAATAATCCTGCTGTCTAATCGGCATCTTGATACGCCACACCTGTGAGGTGGACGGATTATCTCGGCAAAGGAGAAGTGCTCACTAACACAGATTTAGACAGATTTGTGAACAATATCATCAAGATGCTGATTAGACAGCATGATTATTGCACAGGTGTGCCTTAGGCTGGCCACAATAAAAGGCCACTCTAAACCGTGAGTTCAGCTCATGAAAAATGGGGGCAAAAACATAATATAATTGTGTTCAGTGTACATCTAGTTAAATGAGATTGTGTCTGTCATCATTAAATGTGTAGATTCAGATCCTCAGTCTGAATGTTTCTATGACGGTCACATCCAGTCAGCTGTCAATCATCAGTTCTTTATATTATTCGACATGTGTGTGTTGTTTTTGTGGTTGTCGGCGCTCTGGGTTTGTTAGTATTCCCTGTGTGTCGCAGAGGAAAAGCAAAAGGTGCAAATTAGAACGAGTGTTAAAAATGAGGAAGAGCTCCATGTTTACTTCAGCGAATCCGCGAGAGCCTGAGACGGCGGGTGTAAGGAAATATGTCTTTTCTTATTTTAACATATACCCCATATATTCCTCTGAGAGATCAGCAACATAATCAGTTTTCAAATGAGCCCCTCATTGTTTCTTTAGATGAGAAAGCGGGAGAACAGAGAAAGCTAGCGAGCCGGAGGGAACGCGTCCCCTGAGGTGTTCGCGTACACTAATGCATGGGTTATTAATGTTGCGCGCTCAATGCCATCTGTGCGGGTAAAAATAGTGTTCGGACTCTGTGGAGATCTGGTTCCATTTCAAACTTTATGCCCAGGTGAGCCTCAATGAAAACATGAACATCATTTCATCCCAAAGAAATAAAAAGAGGAAATTGTATTTTACCAGAGAAAAATGAAGCCTGTTTCCATAAGTATATATATGTATGTAAATGTGTGTGTGTGTGTGTGTGTGTGTGTATATATATATATACTGTATATAAAATATAAAAAATATATATTGATATATACATATATTCATTATCTATTTTAATAATTTATATATATATATATATATATATATCATTATAAATATAACTTATTATATATATATATATATATATATAGTAAATTTTATTGATTTGTTCAATAGTAACCGACTGCAGAACCGCAGAACCATACGTCAGCAGTGTGAGGACGACAGCGCCAGCCTAACAGTCTGATGCCGGAAGTGGGCGTGGCCAGGCATTGCGCTACTTCTGTGTTTTAGAAAGTTTAAAACAATGCTATTATGAATATATTTTTTAACGATTTCATTAAAAATATATATTTAAGAGATAGGCCTATATATATATATTAGGGGTGGAACGGTACATGTATTCGTATCGAACCGAAACGGTACGGGCGTCACGGTTCGGTGCACGAACTTACACGGAGAATACACGGTATAAAAATAAATAAAACTCGCGTGCAAATTAATTAATGTAATGCGGAACTACTGTTAGATACGCGGGTTCTTTAGGGACACATAATCTGGACCATCGGCTTTGCTCTGAACGCGCGTTCACTTCAAACGTCGTTGGCTTATACGTGCGTCCTATTCGCTTTGGACTAGCGTCGAATTTGACGCTCTATTCGCGTTTGGTGTGACCGCATAATGAACAGGCTGCGATGTCAAGATTGCAATGCTGGTGTGTGTGTGTGTGTGTGTGCGAGAGAGAGAGAGGCGTGCGGGCGCGATCGAACTGTGTGTGTGTGTGTGTGTGTGTGTGTGTGTGTGTGTCGTGTGTGTGTGTGTGTGAGTGAGAGAGAGAGAGAGAGAGAGAGAGAGAGAGAGAGTGTGTGAGAGAGAGAGAGGGAGGTAGAGAGAGAGAGAGAGAGTGTGTGTGAGAGAGAGAGAGGGAGGTAGAGAGAGAGAGAGAGAGTGTGTGTGAGTGAGAGAGAGAGAGAGAGAGAGAGAGTGTGTGAGAGAGAGAGAGAGAGAGAGAGAGAGAGAGAGAGAGTGTGTGAGAGAGAGAGAGGGAGGTAGAGAGAGAGAGAGAGTGTGTGTGAGAGAGAGAGAGAGAGAGAGAGAGAGAGAGAGAGAGTGTGTGTGAGAGAGAGAGAGAGAGAGAGAGAGAGAGAGAGAGAGGCGTGCGATCGAACAGTGGAAACATAAAAAACATACTCCGTCATTTTGTTCATCAGATCATTAAACCTGCAAAGTGTTTACTTATATTTGTGTACACTCGCAATAAAACACAACATTGTGCTTTTGTCACTATAAACTCTTGTCAAACTGTAACCTACAACTGTCACCCAACCAAAATCACACACACACACACACACACACGCACGCACGCACGCACACACACACAGTTTTAAAAGCAAAACATATTTATCCAACTCCATTTCAAAACAGTCTGTGGGTCCCATCTTTTGGACATTTATCATATTGGTTTCCATTTCTCGTCCTCGGAGCGCTAATCTTACACATTCTACATTGATTAAAAAAAAGAAAATCGAATGTTTTTAATGGCAGTATTATTTTATACAGAAATCAATTATTTATAATTCGGATAAGAATAATGTTACATTGTCAATTAATAATGTTAATTAAAATTAAGGAAAACAAATATATTGATCTGAAATATAGCAAAATAATTTTAAATTAATAGTACAATTACCAAACATATTGCAAGGTCTTTTTGTCTTTTTATTAATTTAATTAATAAACTAATTATATAAAACTATTGTCAGTGCACTACAAATAAACTGGTTCTATGCCTTTATTAATAAAACTTATTTAAAAAATACAATGCCTTCTGCATTTTTGTTTTGCTTTTCCCTCCATTGTACCGAAATCGTACCGAACCGTGATGTCTGAACCGAGGTATGAACCGAACCGTGACTTCTGTGTACCGTTCCACCCCTAATATATATATATATATATCAAATATTATAAAATATAATATTTATAAAATTATAAAGTATAATAACTATGTTTTGTCCTATTAACAAAAGACAGGCAATGTAGCCTATTAACAAATGTTAATGGTGTTTTTTAAGTTAAAATGATACTTTATGCATCTGTTTTGTGTCAAATGATTAACAATATAAATTGAACAAAGCTTAAAACAAACAAAATAATAAAACGAAAACAAAGCTTGAGCATTTGAACATTTGATTTAATTGAAAAGCATTTTTTAAATAAAATGTGTTTTTTCCCCCTCTGAAATAGCAAAAGCATCACACACTAGCTGTACCTGCTCCAAATAAATAATAGTAATTAAATCAAAATATAAAATCAAAATAAATAAAATAAATAAATTATATAAAACAAAATCAAACCAAAGAAAATAAATCTTATTAAAGTTATGCAGGCACACATTTAACAATAATTCTCAAGTGACAAATAAACTAAATAGATCAAAACTCCATACACATGGAGTTAATCCTGATGA